GCTCCTGGCCTCGCTACTAGGAGCAAGGACGCTACTAGGGGCTCCTGTCCTTACTACTCGGAGCAAGAATGCTATACTACTGGCCTTACTACTAGGACCAAGGACGCTACTAGGGGCTCCTGGCCTTGCTACTAGGAGCAAGGGACGCTACTAGGGGCTCCTGGCCTTACTACTAGGAGCAAGGACGCTAGTAGGGGCTCCTGGCCTTACTACTAGGAGCAAGGACGCTAGTAGGGGCTCCTGGCCTTACTACTAGGAGCAAGGACGCTACTAGGGGCTCCTGGCCTTACTACTAGGAGCAAGGACGCTAGCAAGGACGCTACTAGGGGCTCCTGGCCTTGCTACTAGGAGCAAGGACGCTACTAGGGGCTCCTGGCCTCGCTACTAGGAGCAAGGACGCTACTAGGGGCTCCTGGCTTTACTACTCGGAGCAGGAACGCTATACTACTGGCCTTACTACTAGGAGCAAGGACGCTACTAGGGGCTCCTGGCCTTACTACTAGGAGCAAGGACGCTACTAGGGGGTCCTAGCCTTACTACTAGGAGCAAGGACGCTACTAGGGGCTCCTGGACGCACCTAGGGCCTTACGACTAGGAGCCAGGACGCTGCTAGGGGCTCCTGGCCTTACGACTAGGAGCAAGGACGCTACTAGGGGCTCCTGGCCTCACTACTAGGAGCAAGGACGCTACTAGGGGCCCCTGGCCTTACTACTAGGAGCAAGGACGCTACTAGGGGCTCCTGGCCTGGGGGATCCTGGCCTTACTACTAGGAGCAAGGACGCTACTAGGGGCTCCTGGCCTTACTACTAGGAGCAAGCACGCTACTAGGGGCTCCTGGCCTTACTACTAGGAGCAAGCACGCTACTGGGGGCTCCTGGACGCTACTAGGGGCTCCTGGCCTTACGACTAGGAGCAAGGACGCTACTAGGGACTCCTGGCCTCACTACTAGGAGCAAGGACGCTACTAGGGGCCCCTGGCCTTACTACTAGGAGCAAGGACGCTACTAGGGGCTCCTGGCCGTACTAGGAGCAAGGACGCTACGTTCGGGGCTCCTGGCCTTGCTACTAGGAGCAAGGATGCTACTAGGGGCTCCTGGCCTTACTACTAGGAGCAAGGACGCTATTAGGAGCTTCTGGCCTTACTACTAGGAGCAAGGACGCTGCTAGGGGCTCCTGGCCT